TTAATTTCTGCCATAGGAGCAAACATTTAAGGATTTTAGGTGGTGCTAGCCCCCCTCAAAAATATTATTTTAGTATTAAGGAGCAATTTCTGGCAGGCTTTGATGTGCCTTAAAGTTAGAGTTTCTCCCTTGAAGATAATAGCTGTTGTGGTCAGCTCAAATGTGTGTTACTTACAAAAGTATGCAATACTAACAACACCTGTCTGAGTCCAAATAAACAGCTGTGGCATTTCAAGCATATGCAAACACTTTAGTTTTACTATGCTTGAAATGCCACAGCTGCAACACTTGGAGTTCATATATTGTCCCTTTACTTATTTTCTATTCTTTTTTTAGAATTCATTTCGACATGTTATTAATTGCTTCTTTTAACTTGTTTAAAAGACGTTTCTTTGACATGGCTCTCAGGCTTTTGGTTAGTACACTTATATATGCCAACACACACACACACACACACACACACACACACACACACACACACACACACACACACACACACACACACACACACACACACACACACACACACACACACACACACACACACACACACAACAATCCATACTAAAACACAGCACACGTCTCCCTCTACCGAAGCTAATCCCCCCTTCATCTGACATTAAGCCAAATGATGGAAGGATGAAGAGGTGAGCAGGGGATGAGACAGGGAGGACAAAAGAATAAATAGGCAGAGACATTTAAAAAACAAAATAAAAGAGAACAATGGTCTTTGCCCTGTTCACCTTTGACTTGTCTGGGCTATTAGTGGTGGTGCATATCTGAAACCGAGTAACTGCAGAATTAGTTTTTGTTTTTTTTAGACTTTAGACTTAATTGTCTCTCGAGGGAAATTCATCTCCACAGCACTGTAAACAACAGACAACGATACATACAGCAGCAGAAAATAAACAACTCAAAATGAAAGACAACTGTGGTGAGGTGGTGATTCAGAGGATGTGTGAGCTCCTGTTCTATTAAGGTTGCAATGTGTAAAAAGACCTTAATGTAAAGTTCGGGGCAGGGAAATCTCTTGGAATGCATCGGCTATCGGTCATACAATATTAAACCTCTGGGTGCAGGGGATATGTTTTTGGTGTTCTGGTGAAGCCAGTGGATATCAATGCCATGCGCTTTACTGTTGTTTACAGTCTGATTAGCAACTTGAAGCAATAAGGGAGTTGGAGTTCAGAAACCACTTCTATGAAAAGATTGTATAAATAGAAGCCAGTTTACAAGATCATTTTTAATCTATGAAAGCTGTGTGATTGTCAGATAGCTAATGGGGTCTGTGATTGCATTTAGGCTAGTGCCTTCTGCCTCTTTTGCTCTCTGCATTGACTGTTTGCTTGCATTTAAAGAAAGCCCACTCAAACATGTTCAAATCTTGTCCCCTTGCACATTTGGGGACTAATTATCCTGCAGCCCCTGTGTTGGTTATGTGTGTTACTTTAGCACGATGGCAGCGGATAAGACAGGATTTTAACTTTCAACTTTTACCCACATTTCTCATCTAAAAAACTTTTAACACTAGCAGTTTTCATTCAAATATACTGCAAAGCAAATGTCTTACACCCACACTCCATCTGAGTCATTCTAGATCAAAATAAAACCAAGGTTGAAGAATTAATAAAAAAGGAAATTGCATACGTATTCCACACAGGCTTGCATGAATACAAGGATTTAAGGAAATTTCCAATTCTTATCATGTCCTTTCACCCTACGAACAAGCGAGATACTCAATGTGATTCTAGTATGTGTATTTCATTACTAGATGTATCTTTTTCCTACTCTGTTTGCCAAAGTCTTCCTATCATAGATGAAACAGACTGTCGTCTAAAACAGTACCTGAGGAGGTATTTTATTCATATAGTAAGTATGGCTTTAATCAGACACACACACACACACACACACACACACACACACACACACACACACACACACACACACACACACACACACACACACACACACACACACACACACACACACACACACACACACACACACACACACACAGAAATATATATCATTAGGACCACACCAATTCTGGGAAACCAGCCCGTTTGGGCCAAAACCAGAAGCTGTATTATAACAGCATGTTTGTGTGAGTGTGTGTATTAAAAAGAGAGAGAATAACATAGCATATACAGTATGTCTCTAAAATATGCCTTGTTTGTGTGAAATCAAAACAAAGTTTGTGAAGCTGTGTAGTGAAAGGCACATTCCTTAATGGATGAAAAAATATATATACTATATTAAAAAGGACTTTTCACTAAAACAAAAATGTCCTTTTTGTTTGTATTACCCTGAGTGACATATTGTGATTCCCATAGTCTTTTCAAGGTATCTGTCTTAAAAATGTGACACTCATGAGAACTGTTGAAAGTGTATTCTGTGGAATAACAGGCCTCGGAAGAGGTCTGCCCTCTTCACCTTTATTTTTCAGAGTTCAAATGTTTTCCTCAGACATACAGTATACAATAATACCGAAAAATTCATTTTTATGACGTTGTTAAATACAAATACAGTGCAGCTGTATATCAACCACCATTTTGTTGCATTGTTAAAGTTAAGGTTGGAAATACATAAACTATTTAGAAGATGCAGCGTAGACCAGTTGTCATACCACAACACGAACCATCATCATTATAATTGTAGCCAGTCTCAACTCAAAGAAGCCTCAGACACCTGCCATGTAGAGTTAGTTTACCATGGGATTAGGCATTGACTATATTGATCTGCTTCTCCCAACATCACCTTGTTAGACAAATGAAAACTACACGTTTCTGTCACGTAACATGTCTTTCAGAGTATTATTTATCAAGCAATATCGATATAAAATCGTATTCTAAATATTCAGAAATTATATTATTGTCTATAGTGCTGAGGTGTCCTTACACCAACGTACTGTATACTGTGTAGAGCCCTGTTCAAGGGAACTTCAGCAATTACAGCAGGTCTATGAATGATGGAGATCACACCAGTGCCTTTTAATTTAATGGTTAACATTCTTGCTGAAAGACAAACCTGCCGTCCCCATATGCACATACACACACTAGACATTAAGGTTACACTGCAATACATCTATTAACTGTGGTGTCTCTTCAGGGAATACAAGACTAATGCAAGATCATTCAAGCAGGAATATGCTGCAACACACACACGCACCCACACACACGCGCACACATACGCACACAGAAAATCTTCTTCCCATTGAATAGGCAAGGCAAGGCAAGTTTATTTACATAGCACCTTTCAACACAAGGCAATTCAAGGTGCTTAAAGACATTTAAAAACACTAATTCAAAGCAAAGATATAAAATGGCATTTAAAAACACTTATTTAAAAGCAAAGATAATAAAACATGGATAAAGAAGGTACATGAATAAAAGTTACAGCGCAGTGTGAGATACACACATCTGAAATGTTTAGGTCTGCATTGCTAACTTTTTAGCAGAAGTGGTTTGCTATGACCTCACTTTCTTCCTACTTCCTTTTTTAACTTATCCTTGAGTTATTTCAAGTGTTTCACGCTAAACCAACCCCCCTTTGGAAAATTCTAATCTGACCCCATACCTTTTAGTTTTCGTCGAAACTATTCCTCTTTTTTAAATGCACATTAGTTAAGTTGACCTTGTCTTTTTAGGCTAATCCTCCGCGAACCAGGGTCTTGAAACCAAAACGGATTCCTGTACCCCCATGGTACCTAATTTTACACTTGTTCTGCCCTTTTGTGTGTGTGTGTGTGTGTGTGTGTGTGTGTGTGTGTGTGTGTGTGTGTGTGTGTGTGTGTGTGTGTGTGTGTGTGTGTGTGTGTACACATGGAAGTGTGTTCATGACCGGCATTAATGGCATATGATGCATCTGTGCCCACCAGCAATCTTTATGTGTACTTAGAAATTCACTCCTCGGGTGCATTATGCCTTTGAAGCTCACCAGGGTGGTCTAATAGCTTTTAATTATAATTAATTTCCCCTCTCTATTAATAACCTATATCATTCCCTAAGTGGTTCAGAGATTTAAAGGTGCTGCTTTACTCATTAGCCAATTGCTGGGTAATGGGATGGCTTTTGCTGAGTCAGCAAGAACCTAAAGTTGGCAAGTTAAGCCAGTCAAAATAACTCTTAGAGCTAGATGTGATGAACCACATGGACATGGTTGACAAGAATGGAGAGTAAAGGTGAGGTGCTACAGTAAGTATGAGGCAATGAGTGACCAAAAGAGAAGGCGATATGGGCGATGAACATATATTGCTGCAAATATTGCATGTAAACCCTTGACATTGTTATAGTTGTGGTTAAAATACTCACTAAAATGATCCCAAATGTTACGACTGTCGGAAATGCCTTTGGCTTACACAATCCTTCCTATTTAATTATTCCCGGCAATTCATTTCACATTGTCAGAATCCTCAACAAGTGCTATCATGTCCTCTGTGTTGTGTTAAATGAGTTGGTTTATAAAGTGGGTGATTTGAAGAAGAAAAAAAATATCAGTGTCGGAACAGACAGATGGACGATTGCATTCACTGTATTCGTTTAGATTAAATCCATCTAAAATAGTCAACATTGCACCTTGCAGTCCTTATACGTATAGGACTAATAAGTGGAATGCAATGGCCTCCCTTCTGTCATTAGTTTACAAGTGAAGTCATGCCAGCTGTTTCCTCAGCTCTCTGTGTAATGACTACCAGGGAAAAGCTCACTCCAGAGACTTCCTCTGTAGTGAACCTCCCTGTGCTGTCCTCTGAGGGTTTCCTTTAAAAATGTTCCCTCTGTGATGCATTTCCTTAATCAACTCTAAAGGAAAAAATATACTAAAGTTCTTATTTAAAAAATATATTTTAATTGATACTATGAGTGTAATGATTTTAATAGAATCGTTTGTTTCTCCATGATTCCAGTGCTTTCTTCTGCCCCTCTAAACTCCTGCAGCAGCATCTCACTCAGTTACACCCCTCCTCCTCCCATTGCACACAGACACAACGTGAGCGCGCACCACTAAGTTGGCAAAGTTTGACGCGCCGACTTTCACAGCACAGACTCTTCTGATAGAAACCAGAAAACTATTCGGGATATTTTCAGTGACTCAACAAAATGTATGTACGATAAGAAGTTCGGCGCCTGTAAGCTCATGTCTGGCCGTGAACGGAGCTATATCACCCTCCACCTGCACTTAATTGTTTCGGAGTTCTGCTCTCGATTCCTGTGGGCGCGTAACTTTTTTAGACCAGGATAAAAACTGGGATTTTTTTGGGCACTTTGGCAGGCGACAGGACATCGTCTGCGCCAGGCAGAGAAGTCAACAAGTGCCTCTCATTTACGGTTAGAGGAGAGAGAGTATGAGAGCTTGAAGTTGCTGAATGGAAAGTTAGTGGCTACTTTCTTGGTCGCAGGGTATTTAGAGTAACATCTAGTTTGAACCACTGGAAGTTGAGGAGGACATTTATTCTTAAGGCGTTTACGAGTTTGTTATCACAATGAACGGACCAGTGGTTTTCCAGATGTGGACGGTTTTACTGTTGGGGACTATCACCGGGGTCTGCAGGGCTCAGGTCGCCACCGCCAAAGTGCTGAGAGGAAACATCAGGAGAGACGGTGAGTTCATTTTTAATTTGTTCTATATATTGTTGCTTGTGTGGTTAGTGTGTCTTTACTGCTAAGAGTCTCTACAACATTCATCAATGATATACTGTAGTAGTGAGCGTTTGTAGGATAATTATATAAGAGGTTTTGTTTCTACAGTATGTCAGTGTGTACAGTAAGTTATTGTATAGGCTACTTGAAGCCCTATAGTTTATAAAGCTTAGGTGAGTTTCATGTATTCATTGGATCTACAGTATGTGTAGCCCTTTTATTTTCTTCCTAATCTTTAATACTGATTTGAAAAGATCAATGATATTTTATTGACAAATAGGAAATAAACTTCTTACAATTGCGTATTGTCTTAGGGTGGTCAATAGCATTACTTAAAATATTCAGGATCAATTATTTGTACAAGAGTATCAGTTAACTAGCATGTTTTGCTGTAGTGAATGATGCAAGACAGAGTGGAAATGCTGGTGAAAGAAGGAGACAATGTAAACGATGTAAAGTGGATACAAAAGAAAAGGAAAAGCAAAGTCTTTTAGATGACAAGCTGCTTCACATTTTCCGACTTCAAAACTAAAAAGGTAGCATTCATATTTCAGACAACTCTACTAAGAGTGAGACTCCTGTCATCGGTGCAGTTTGAGTTTCTTGCATCAAGCTTTAGACTCCCTTAGCCTCTTGCCTATCTGACTTCCTGCAGGTGCGCCATGCTTACTTTTTACTTGGCACTGAGGCTAAAGTTGCAGTGTTAACAGTACCTTTGAACACACCCACACCCCCACACACAGGACAGCACACACACAACACCTACCCACACACAACCCCC